CATTTGGACTGGAGAAATGTGGCCAGGAACTACAAGTACATTGGAATACCACAGAACAGTCAAACACCTGCAAAAAGTAAGGCAAATTCTGAGAAGTTAGCTAAATGATAAGAACAACATCCAGGCGATTGACAGCTATGACCTGCCAGTAATCAGACACCCAGTTGGGATAATAAGTTAGCCAGAAAAGGAAAACATCATGGGAGGAAAAACGACTGATAGAGAAGGCCGGACATTCTTCATACAGTAGTTGAAGCCATACTGTATATCAGTACAAGGTCCAAACTGTGAAGCTGAGAATACACATTTTGAACAAAGCGAATCACGTCGAAGATAACACTAAAGGCTGTGTTTCAGTTATCACCATAAATGGAGGTGTGGATAGAAAAGAAAAAGAAAAGAAAAGACCACCAGGTTGGCATAGAGTTATAAGTATGATTAGATAATGGGCTGTCAACCTGATCACGTTTGGTGGAAAGCAAAACCAATGAAATATAAAATAAACATTTGTTGCAAATGTGTTTAATCAAAACTTTCAAATAAAAGTGGAAGAAAAAGATGGAAAAGACAAATGAAAAAAACAAAAAACAAACAAAACAATGAAAGGTTTGAGTACTTCAAACTGTGTTCTTTAATTATATCAGTTTATCTGTTAATTTAGGAAAGGACTGACCTCTTTGTCAATGCAGGGGTTATGTTAAAAGAAAGCAGTGAAGCTTGTTTGACATGTCTTTAACAAAAATAAAAGAAACTAAAAAAAAGCCCTTCTCAACTTACCTCAGGGCGTGTGGCGCATCCATGCCCTAGATGCTCACCCAACCATAAGCTGATGAAGCCTCTCCCACTCTGGCTCACAGTTTGTCATTTAACTCAGCTAAATGTGTTGCAAGAAAACCCGTTGTTTTAAGATAGAAGAGAATATATTATTTTAAAGATTTTTCTGCTTAGATATGCGCCTTTTACATTAAGAGTTTTACCCATTTAAATGTAAGAAAACCAAAGAGGCAGGATGTGTGTTTAACATTTAATCATGCTTCAACTAAAAATGTCCATGCATTTTAGTAGGATATATATACATAATAGGATATATATATATATATATATATATATATATATATATAAGACCAACTCAGTGCATCAAGGGTATATGTTCGTATTAACTACCCATTACTGATATACCTTCTTGAAATCAGGCACAACCACAAGGTATTAGGAAAGAGAATATAGTCAAAGGGATAGCCGATATATGAAGTCAAGATACTAGGTGCTTCTTAATTAAATTCAGTGAATGTTTTGATATATTCTTGAATTTTTTTACCCATATCTACAGATTTCTGCATGTGAATATACTACAAATGAAACACTGTTATTGACTTAAGCAAATAAAAACAAAAACATTAGAAAAATAACTGCCTATACAAAGTAGAAATCTTATCTATAAAGGATGTCTTATCAGCTAACTTTGATCAAGAAAAAAAAACAAAAAAAAAAACTTTTTAATTTTGCGTTCACACCAAATGCATTTTGGGCATCAAAGCATCTCATTTACATGCAATAGGGACGACGCTGAGAGATCCAGCGGCAAGTCCGAGCATCGGGAGTGGCCCCATCCAGAAAACACAGGCCAATATGTTATTGAGCATGTCGTCAGAAAGAGGTCACAATATTTCTTCCTTGTGTTCAACACAACACAGTTGCGCATGATTGGATAAGCTATAAATGTTTTGGTGGATATTGGCTGTCCTAAAAGAACCTTTGGAAAATTTTGGAGTTACACTGCAGATTCTTGTGACAAAAGATAACTTGCAATGAATGTCAAAAATTGTCTGATATTTGGATCTCATAGTGTAACATCAGTTATGATCTATGGCTACTAATTAGCAAATGCAGATCTGCAGCTACTTCTTGAGATGCAACACAGTAAGACACAAAAGAGAAGATGAATGCAAAGAAATCTACTTCAAGAATTTTTTAAGCAACAGAAAAAAAGCATGTGCCAAAAACAACACAGAGAATATCACATATTAATTGAGAGACTATAGTAGCATTAACCCTGGAAAGTGTTAATAGATTAATAGCTTAATCCACATAAAGTTACCACATTGGCTTTATAGTTGAACTATAAAGATGAGAAAAGTATGATTATTAATTATTGCAATGTTAATACAAATAGGTAAGCAATGACTTATTAATTCATCCACTACGAGAATCATCTGCAACACTGAATTGTCAGACATTTAATTATGGAGGGAGCATTTGCATGAGGAGCAGGAGAAATGTCACAGGATCTAAATGGTTCTCCTCCATAAATGAAAAGGAAAGGTAATATGTTTTGAATTTTGGAATCTTTTGGAATTCATCTGTCATGAAGAGCTTGCTCTCTTTACTCCAATTGCAGCAATGAAATAGTGTACCTTCACAAACCGGTGAGAAATGTTATCCCTATTTTCTGATTTTAGCATGTTTAAAGACTAATAGATATTTTGGGGAAAGAAAAAAAAAATATAATTTCTCTTCAATCATTTCCCTTATGTATTCGAATTGGACTTTTGCGCTACATAATGACATTTTGTCAAAATTCTTCTACAATTTATTAATTAAAGGACATTGCCATTTGATTGAACACATTCATCCCACATGTTTTATTTATTATAAACTGTTTTTTTTACTGTGGTTATGCTTTGGTTGGATTCAGGTTTAGGTGTGACTTTTGCTTCTTAAATTGCACAAGTAAGATCCAATGGACTTACAGCCATTACATCCTGAACACGCCTGATATCGTCTTATCTCGGAAGATAAGCAAGGTTGGGCCTGGTTAGTACTTGGATGGGAGACTGCCTGGGAAATCTGGGTACTGTAATTATTTTACTTTTTGATTTTAAGGAAGCAGCCTGCTTTTTTGTGAGAGTTTTCTTTAGCATTCTAATAATACATTTTTTATTTCATATTCTCCTTTAAGTGCCAATATGTATAATTTGTCATTGCATATTAGTCAGAATATAGATGGAATGTAAAACAGCATATATAAAGGAACACTCATTATAGGAGTTTTTCTAAACTAAACCAAGAAATTAGATAATGTACCCGCAAAACTTTTCATAAAAAGGTCAAATGAAGATTAGATTTTAAGGTGCATTTAAATTTCATTACTTCAATTTGTAGTGTGGCTAAACATTATAACAGGGAAAATGTTATGTCTGTTGAGCTCCATATACAATAAATAGTAGTACCCAAAAAAGAGAAGATAGAAATTAAAGCAATTACCAAGTCAACAAACTAGATATGCAAAAGAAGGAAAGACTCTTTTGGTTTGCAAGTCAAGTCTCGACTCTCAATGGAGAGGATGTTGTATTACATTTGATAAATGTAGTGTGTTGCAAAGTTTTGTCCAGAAAGATAAAGGGAGAGGAATAATGGGATAAAGAAGGAAAATAAAAATCTATCAAGTTACCAAAGTCGAGCACAGCTCAGGAGAATTCGGAACTGCAACCGTTGGAACAGCCGTTTCCCTACGACTTTAAGATGGAGGTATTAGAAAAACCTGGCTGAACAACTGCTCAATATACATGGATCTAAATGTAAACTCAAAAGCATTACTTTGTATTCATGTTTTGAATTACTCCTTCCATTTGAAAACCAATAATAAAATGTTCAAACTGACAGATGTCACCTTATGCCATGACTGATGGCTGTTTAGATTTATTGAGTGATTGACAGCAATGACATTTCATGGTTAGAAGATCATTCTTAATAAATGCTCTGTCTTAAGCTTGACCTGTCACAATGTCCTTAGTCTCTACAGTGGTTGAGCATGCTTCTTGATCTTTCATGTGTCTTCCTGATGTTAGAAATGTGTTATTTATTCCAATTTCCTCAGTTTCCATCTCTGGATATAGGTGGGTGTGACAGCTGTGCACATTGTTACCAGTGTCCTCAGGCAGGGCACAGCACACTCCATTGCCCACCATGTTATTTTAAATGTATTGACTTAGGAATCAAAAAGCCTTGCAAATACAGAGTATACAGACTAGATCTGTGGACCAGGCGCCATTTGTTGCTCCTATGTGGATTTTGTGCAAAATTAATTTAATTCATTTAAAAAAAGACTTTATTGATCCTATAGTGAAATTAAATCTCTTTTCTTGTTTAGCAGTTCCTTAAGTTCCTATGCAATCCAGCATGTCTCTCTCTCTCTCTCTCTCTCTCTCTCTCTCTCTCTCTCTCTCTCTCTCTCTCTCTCTCTCTCTCTCTGTCGCAAGGTTATCTCATATTTCTTGTCCAGTGATTATTTTCTGAAATGTTCGTTGTTCACAATATTGATGAGATACCTGTTTAACCAAATAAAAAGAGATGCCATCCTTTATTTCTGCATGTCTTTGAGAGGAAGATGGATAGGGTGTTTCCTGCATTGTTGCAAGTAATAGTGTTTTGGTTTTCCATGCCCCTGTAACAGACACAGAGGTTGAACAACCTCTCTTTACAAAACAGAAAACTTTGAGGTAGGTTTTTCTTATTTCTGGTTTTTCTAATCACTATAGCATTTCCAAGCTAAATTACTAATACTTCAACAGAAAGGGTGACTAATACACAATATGTTACAGATATGAAAGTAGTTTTTTTAGAGGTCAACATATGTCAAGAGCCAAATAATAATCAAGCAGCGTTATCACCACGGACTCTGTAAATAATTTTATTAAAACAGCTGACTGGCATTACGCCTTCAACGTTACATATTTTGTTGAATATTGCAAGTTAAAAAAAGTATTTTACACAGAATTTAGTCTTTTGAAAATTCTTTACACAACAGTTTAATAGACATCTGTGTTGCATACATGCTTAATTATGTGTGTGTTTACACAAAATATAAAATATGTAAAAGGAAAAAAAAGTGATCAGCAGTGAATTCTAGCTGAGCTGGATATTTTTCTGTAGTTTTTTCATCATACATCTGAGCTGTGTCTGGGTCCTGAAGGAGAATTAATGGAGTGTGTCTTTTTCAGGCATTGGGAGGCGACTCCCTGCTGTTAATGCAGTGAGAGAGAAGCAGAGGAGCAGCCAGACGAGCAAAGACAGCCGGCACCTCACACTGGGTGATGACTGCACTAACTCCATCTTGCACACTAATAATACAACATCAGTGGCTCTTCGTGCTGAGCTTGCAGACCAGTGGAATCACCAACTCTGTTTCATGTTGAGAATTATACTCACCTTATCAAAAGTATAAGAGTGCCCTATTTCGTCACCCTTTACAGTCTTAGTCAGTTTACACTTTTGATCTTTTTAAACATAAACTCCAGGTTAAACAAGTCTCCATATCACCATTGAATCTGGTATGAACATAAAAAAGATCATACCTAATCTTGAGTTGGCATTGTTGCCCACTTTACTGACTTTGCATGGTAGAGTTGTTAGGACAAGAAGATTCAGAGTTAGATATTTCATTAGCTTTAAAGTTGTAGGGAAGTCATATTTAAATGTCAAATAATTCTGGCTTAAAACATGTATATAAATGTACTCTTTATTAGACTATATTGTCCCAATATTGAGAAAATTTCTATTTAAAAAAAATCCTGTCTTTAAATCTGTGGGGGTTGTTCCCTGTTATTTTATGCAGGCCAGTTAGTTATACGTCAGCCTGTACACCTAAATTCGGTCAATCATATATCAACGGTCATCTGTCAATCAAATTTTTTTAGTCATAGTATCATATGTCGCATCTAATATTTCCAACACTTGAAATAAGAAATAAGAATCATTATTTACTTTCCCATTGAGTAATATCCCAGTGTTCACGGGAATGGACGTCTATGTCTTCGGCAGGCATAGAGCTAACGAAACTGGCAGCGCTGACTCATCCATGACCTCTGACACAAAACTCTTCTCCTCCTGCATTAGGAACCTACTAGCACTAGGTTGCTAATTGGTTAGCATGATGCTTACCAGCCACAGCCAAACTTGCTTGCGAACCTTCCACCACAACAAGCCCGCCCTCCTGCTAAATGACCACTCACATTCACTTTATACTCGTGTAAAGTCGTGCACCATTCTGGAGAATTCGGAAATGCAACGGTTGCCATTTCCCTACTACTTTAAGTCATAGGGCCTGATCTTCAAAGGATTCTGCAACTTAGAGCACATTTGCAGAGACAATCTTATAGGAAGGCACAAAATGATTTCAGCATGCAACTCAGCAGCTTTTTCATTAATATGCAGCTCATATTCTGATCGCCAAAACATGGAAAATTATGGGTGGAGGATATCCAAATGTAGGTAATTGACATTTTCAAAAGAATTTTGAAATCTTAAACTCAATGGCACCCACGTTTATATTCCTTTTAAGCAACTTCAATCAACAGACAAAGGCAACTTTCCCATGTTTTATAATTAGAATAGAAAACAAAAATCTCTTTATTATCCCACAATGGGGAAATTGTGGTGTTACAGTGGCAGGGGTCCATCTTACAAACAGGGTGTAAAAATCTTTCACTAAAGCTAAACTAAAGCTGCTCAGCTCCTCTACAGTCTGGTGCAGAGAGTGGAAGATGCTATCCATGACGGATGTAAGATTGGACAGCACCCTCCTCTCGGCCACTTTCCCCACTAAGTCCAGAGTGTAGCCTAGGACAGAAGCAGCCTTTCTCACTAGTTAATCACAGAGCTGGCCTTCCTGATCAACTTATCTAGCCATTTTATAATCCATTATCCATTTCATAATTAATCTAATGTTTTTGTCTTAATATGATCATTAATATTACTTTGGACAAAATATTGTCATGATTATATTTCCACTAAATGGTTTATGTTGGAGTCACACTGAATGCAGTGTAACAGTGGTGTAAGTATCATCAAAAATCATACACTCATCGCACTTTTTAGGCACAGGAATGTGAACGCATGTATAGAAGCGGTACAGATCATTGTAGGGATTCTGTAAGAAGTTTCACTGGACACAGCAGAGGTCTCTGTATCAAGCTACTGAATTTCAGAAGACAAAAGTTCAGCACCAGACAGAAACAAGTCCCAATGAATTTTAGAATAAAATCAACCCACTAACCTGCCCTAACTTGAAAAGCAAAATCAAAAAGTAAAAACAAAAACACAAGAACACAGAGTGGATATTGGAGGATCAAAGGAACATTCATGTGCTTGGACACTGAGTTTTGCCCACCAATATTTGGAAAGAACATCAAGCCGTGTGGACTTCTTTTCACTAAAGTGCTGTTTCTTTAGCTAGAGCCACAGCAGTGCCAGTCTGGTCAAGGCATTCAGTATAACTTATTTTCTGCAGCATCCCTAGAGCTATACCAGGGCCTCATCATATTGAGTGTGTTACCCCATTAAAACTTTATTTTTTAACCACTCACAAACTGCTAACAGTTCTGCTCATTTCAATATGGCGCAACCAAACCGGTTTACATGTCTTGTCATTTGTACAAGAAATCTTTGTAGATCACCCACAAGGGTCACCTAATGCATGCACAAAAATATTTGAAGATCTGGCCCTAAAAAATAGGAAATCAGAGGATGTGCAATAGATACTTCAAGCTACAAACTGTACCTTCTAATGAAGCATGTCAAAGTTCCAGAGGCAAACTAGAGGTATTTTTTTGGCTTCAGGCAAGAAATTTTTACAACTTTATTAGAACAACAAATAAAATACTTGACATAATGAGTTTGGCTTTGATGACAGAAAATTTATATAATACTGTTTTACGGCCTCCTTTACATTTCAAGCTGTATGTGTGTCCAGTTTTTCCACATATTTAATTAAGGTCACAGCAGTCCCTCTTCGAAGATTTTCATTAGAGTCAACAGTGGACGTGTCAGGTGTGAGCAGAGAAAATAAGTTAACACATAAAATCTCTATCAAAGCAGCCTGATAAGGAAGGTCTTGACACCACAGAGGGGATCATCTTATTAATTAGAATAAGGTGCATTCCATTAAAACTTGCTATCTTACTTCCTCATTCAGCCAAAGGAAAAAACTGAGAACAAGACCAATTTTCCAGAAAACCTGAAAAAATAATTAGGAATTGTGCTCATTCAACCTTGAGCCTGTTGGGAAGCAACAACTCCCAAAGGAAAGTAATCCAGGGATCCTTTTGATTGTGAGCCCTTACTAAAATTCTATATAGGAAAGAAATTATGTTTTGAGGTGAGGAGGTTCTTGCCTGCTTCCTGTTGTTGTTGTTGCTGTTGCTTGTTTGTGGGCAGGCGTGCTTGGTACTGACTCGGCAGACATTACTAATTAAGGTCAGCCTCATAAGCTAGAAAAGCGGAAAGATTTAATACAAATGTGTTTATACTTAAAACCTACCCTTCACTATTCCCTCTTGCACTCACAGGCAAACACACAAAGCTTCCCTAACTCCTGTGACATGCACGGTTTGTTGCATTACACCAATGCATGAGCAAGGGATGAAAGCATTAGAGAACCTCTGTAATGAATTGAACAACTAGGACACTACTCATTATAGATACATTTGTGTTCACATGAATTGGGCGTATTATTATGTCTAACCAGCATATTCCACTGCAAGCCACTGAAATCATAGAAGCGTAATGTGCCCAGAGAATCTGCTCAGTAGTTAATGTGAATGTTTTAAATTGCTCCCACTGTCTTTATATTCTTTCATGGTTGTGACATACAAGTTAAAATGCACAAATATCCTATTTAAACTCTGAGGATGAAGGCACAGAGCAATTTATTTGTGTTTAGATAATCTTAATTGCATTTTAATATTTTCTTTAAAATATATTAACTCCTTTTCAGTCTGAGATTAAACATGCATGCTCAAGTGAGGTGCAAATTAAGAACAGAAATTGCTGGCACAATGCCTAAACAAATGTATTATAACAAATCAAGCAAATCAGCCATACTCAACAAATCCTTCATAACTCAATCTGCCCGTTGCTTCTACCTTGCAGCTGCTAAACTCCAATCTACCTCAGGGTGAAAATTGCACAGTAGCTTGGCTTCCTAAGGGTTCAGTTGATTAACACTTCCTGGAGTTTAGGGCCATGGTTAACCAGCTCCTTTGTGTTCCTAAGTACTTGTCGCTTTGGTCATCAGTACGCCTCACTTCCCTTTTACTGGGTAAGAAAAACACCAAAGACAACAGAGCTCCCTGTCCTTTCCCTGTCATCACAATCATGCTAACCCACTATTGTTTCCTATTTTGTTCTTTTGAGGTTCTTCAAGAGTAGTAAACTAAATACCTCTTTGTAGTAAGCCTTTCAACATGTTTAGAGCCCATTTGCTTTTTTCTGCTAGGCTCATGTCTTCCACAACAACGGTCTTAGCATCCCTCTGTGAGAATATACCTTCTTTCCACATGGTTCTGTATGACATCTTTTAGCTTTTATCTCACCATCAACTTTATTGGACAAAATAAATGTTATCACCCAAATTAGTAACTACACACACACACAAAATAAAAAAAAATATCTTACCAGTTTTTTATTTTTTGCGAATCCAGCTTTCCACATTGTTTTGATATTTTAAAGAAAAAAAAAAGCTGTGATAAAAATAAAAAATAAAAGATCCATGCAAAGTACTTTTGTCAAATATCAACGGGAGAAGAAAATGGGATTCAATAATAACAATCATTAAAAAAAGTTATACATTGAACCAAAAAATGGTTCATGCTTTTAATAAAAAAAAATCGTACTTCACTGCATTTTAGTTTTTTACTTTTATTTTACCATTTCTATAATAAAATTGCATTCATTTTTCATTTCTCTGTGTTGTTGTTAAAAAGGGGTATCAAATTCCAAACAAACATTAACAGATATTCAATTGCATATTGTTACAAATTTTCAGAATAGATTTTATTCATAGTTTTTTCTTTTGGCTGAGGTCACAATTTCAGACACCTTATCGGAGCCTCATATAAAAAAATATGTGATCATCATAATGTTGGAATAGGCCGTTTTTGACCGTCTCCCTGATGATCTAAGGTAAAGTCAACGTATTTTGAGGTAGCCCTCCATCTTCATTATTTCATTTTCTATGTACAATGCATTTCAACCAGTTGCAGTGAAACAGAACCTCAGTATGATTCCACCATTTCCCCCCGTTGACAGTCAGTTTTGTCAAGTGGTTTGACAGCGTCACATTAAATCTTCTACAGATGTTTATATCTCAAACTTTGTCTCATCTGACCAGAAAACTTTCTAAGAAGAAGCATTTGGCTGGTTAAGATTGGAGAATACAAGTTTTTGTTTTGCTTGAGGGTGTGAGTTATCAAGGAGGCACTTCCTTCCAAAATGATACTCTCTAAGCTCAGGCTGATGTTTACCTTGCTTCACTGTAGACACTCATACTGGTCTTTCATAATTTTCAATTTCATTAGATGTTTGAACTTGTAATTGCTGTTTCAGGTTTTTCATGAACATTCGATTTCTTCTCATCTTAGGGTAGCAGTTTTTGTTTAATGGACGCTGGAGAACATTGGGTTTTCCAAACATGGCTGTGGTCCAAAATGAATATCAGCATTGGTATTAAATGGTTTGTCACAACCAAATTGAACATTTGTTAGCTGTAGCTAAAAGGTGTACTCATACTGGTCAAAAAAACAACAAATAAAACTTGTGAGAGGATTGGCAAAATATCCTGTCGTTATTATGCTAAGACCTCATGGTTAGAAAAAGCCTGTAACTTTCTTAGGATTGTTTATCAAATTATTGGAGTAAAACACATATTTTTGTGTTTGTTACGTTTGGTTTGTTCTTTTTTTACACCCTCTAGTGGTCTGAAGTACATTTAATGGCCATGTTTGCTGCTGTCTTTACCATTTGCATAATTTTCTTTCTGTAATTGCCGTATTTAGATTTTTCTCACTGCATTTTGTTTGTGGTTGAAGCATTTATTATTTGAGACTCATTGTCGTATGTATGTATTGGTCTTTATTTTTAGTGATTACAACATTTCTTGTTTGCAGCATTTTTCTGCTGCGTTTGTTTTTATCTGGTTGTCTGTTTTTGCATTACACATGTTTTGTCAGCTTGTTCCTCATTTACTGTGCATTTGCACCTGTCAGCCACCCTATAGAACAGAATACAAGGTGTATTTAAAATGCTTATATCATAAAGCCTAATTTTTTTTGGTAGCTAGTTGTTTTCAAGGGTAGCAAACCTAGAAGTTGCCATTCTAGCAATTCTAGTGGCAAAAAGTTAAACTTTTTATTTATTTATATATTTACCAAAATAGGGAATTAAAGAGAAAAAAAAAACTCGCCTTGCATCACTCGGGTTAAACATTGTATTTTCTGCTCTAATTCTGACTTGCAATGTTGCTCTTATGAAGACCGTTATCAGGAATTAAATCTCTGCTAATTTATATTAGGGAGCCATGCAGTTGCTGTGTAAGTCTCACTTTCTTGACATTTTTGGTATATTTTCTTGGCATTAGAGTGGGACTATGATACAGTAATGTAGTTGTTAAATGATTATATTTAGGGTGTTATTGCCGATAATATCACCAAGCTCAATCAAGGCCTAAACACACGAAAACAATTTTGAGTCCGATACAACAAAATATCTTATTGTAACAGGTTGTGGCAATGAGAGAGTGAGAGGGAATGGGAATTAAAACACCTGACACAATTTTCTGTAAGGGACCTTTTGCAGCTCTGACTGAGATAGACACTAGGTCTATTTTAGTCGAACTTCACAGCAATTCAGCCGCAATTTCATGTGTTTGACAGAAAAAGGGATACATTTGCAAATTAAACACATCTGCTTTAGGGGAAATGCTAAGTAAAATCTCTTAGTTGCCAAGGAAAACAGTAAGGTTATCGGTTTGGAAACACACAGTGTGTACTTTGCAGGCAGGGGGGACTCAGCCATAAACAATTCATTAAACATTTAATCGAAGATAATACCTTACCTATAATAGGAGTTCAGTAGAACAGACAATAGATGAAGTAAAATAGCGATCCTCTTTGAGCCACAAAAAAAGAATGTGCTTCTTATCACGTTCCCATTTTTATGAAAAAAAAGGCATACTTCAACAAACTTCACAGACAGCTCTCTGAGAATCACCTCTCACTACCTCACCCAGTTCCTATATAAATTGTCCAACAGCCCATATTGCTGTGCGTTCCTTTTGTTTAGACGTGGTTGCCATTCTGTTTTTAACAACGTGTATCTGTTCTGGTTTAAAAGCATGCTGTGCAGGCTGGCCATGAAGTAGAGCTTTGCTTTGTAGACACACTGTCTGTTTACTTATTTCTTTTTTTTTTACTTTTACTAATTTGACATAGTCAATGTGTGACATTGGTTCAATTTCTGGGGCACAGAGACAAAAGTGAAAAAAAGTTAGGGATCTGTTCACCCATTGTATAGTTCTCTATACACACTGTATACAAACTGCAGTCAGTGTGACAAGGAGAAAAATGTCTTGAAAAGTCAAATGCAACCGGTGTGACCCGGGCTTTAGTCTTTGCATTCAAATTCCCCACATCATATTTAGCCTTAAAAAGTCACATCAAACTGAACGGCTTTATATTTTGAAAATGATGGGTGTTACAATGCTTAGATGTCTGCTATGGCCAATATTCTCTACTGAAATTGGCTTATTTAAAGACAAAAGAAATCAATCAAAGAAGCAAATGCTTGTTTTAATGCAATTAGGTAAAAAAAGAATTTGCTCCAGCAAGCATTTTTTGCTTTTTGAGTCTGGTTTAGTGCCCGTGTCATGATCTTGTACCTAATAATGGTCTGATTACTCATTTTATTTACCTACCTATCTCTGCCCAGTTCTCATTACTATTCATCTGATCGACCTGCTTCAGCATCTATTTAACCAGCCTTCAAACCACTTCAAACCAAATAGTTCTCTAGCATTCCTTTGAGTTTCTAATTGCCTGATCCTGACCAGTTCTGCCTCTGGACCTCTGAGCCTGCCTGTCCTCGTTCTGATCTTTTTGCCTGACATGTCTTCAGACTCCTGCTAGATTTCTGCCTGCCTGTGTACCAAACCTCGAACAGTACCCTGACTCAATTCATACCTCTGATTTCCTGGTTCTGATTACCATGCATGTCTTTGACCCAAGCTTTGGGTTTGTCCTCTGGATTATCCTGCGTTCCTTGGTCTGCACGGCTCTGGTCTCCTGCTCACTCCCCAACCTCCGACCTGCACTTAGAACTTTCTGGGCTGTAACCTCAACGTCTCGTTGGCAGCCTACCACCTAAAACCTACCTTATCCTCTGGGCTTGGACTGAACTATAAGACCAGGTTAGTTACTCACACATTCATCATCATCCTCTGCCATTTAGACATGGTTACTGACCTGGTCTTCTAGTCCAGTCCGAGTTAGTGACTCACAAGTTCATTATCATAATTCGCAATATTGACACGGTCACTAACCTGTGCTCTCCTGCAGAGGTTCCTGCCTTAGATGCCAACGCTGTTCTCTTCAGTTTCGTCTTAAATAAACGATTTGTTAAATCTGTCTTTCCACCTCGGATACTGGGTCCTTTTGTTCTGAGCTTTACAGCATGGTTTATTTTGGTTACTCTATTTTGGTTTTGGTTACAATGGATGTTAAGCAGTTTTTTTAAATGGCTACGTCATGTGCTTTTACAAGGGACCAACTACTATGAAACAAACCCTGTACAACTTGATTGATTATGAGAATTGTTTTCGGCGCAGGTTGTAAACAACAGGTTGTTTGGCCCGAGAGAGGCTGCAGGCAGTTTAAAGCATGATTAAGTCCAAAGGCAAGGTGGTGAAGGGACTTGAATGTCAACATGAGAACTTTATACCAGCCTAACATCACACCACTGCAACAGCTCAGCTGTAGAGGTATTCAGCAGCACCAAATCCCTGGGGGTGCACATGACAGACAACGTCACTTGACTATAAACACCTCACTGATCGAAAGGGTACAAAAGCGCTTGTAATTGCTGCGGAGGATGAGGAAAGCCCACCTGCCCCCATTCATCCTCATGACCTTCTACAGAAGCAGGATAGAGAGCATTCTCACAGTGTGGTGTGAAGGCTGCAACACCTCAGACTGGAAGATCGTGAGAAGAGTGGTGAAAACAGCAGAGAGGATCATCGGTGCTCAACTCCCCTCCGTAAAAGACATTTCATCCCAGTGCTGCATGTCCCGAGCCCATATCATCATCAGCGACCCCTCACACCCCCAGCATGGTCCGTTCTCCATGCTGCCCTCTGGGAAGAGGCTTTGCAGCATTCAATGCAGGACCAGCAGGTTCTATAACAGCTTTTTCCCCATTGCCATAAGACTGTTGAACTTTTGAAAACTCTAATCAAAGTCACAAAACGGGACTCTTGATCACACTTTAAACATTATACATGCACTACATAGTGAATATACATAATAGAAAATAGGGGGGAGCCGGGCCTTTGAAACAGACTGGGTAGGGATTACTTTCTTTAGCCCTGCCCTGTCATGCCCGCACTGATCTGTGGTGCAAATCATCACAGCTAGATTGCTAGCAACTGTGGTTGTCTGCTGCTGCCTGTCAGATTTACTTGTCCCATCTCCTTTGCTTTACTGGACTTGACTCGCACATTTCAGTCTCTGCACTTGTTGAATTTAATGTCTTATAAATATTGGCACTAAACAATGCCTGTCTCTTGACTTCTGTCACCTCTAGGAGCCAGTACTGACAATGAGCAGGAGCAACACTTGCAAAAAGGCTTTTATTTTACTCAACCAGAACACGTAAGGAAATGTGCTGTACTAAAAGAGAACATATAAAATGTAAATATCAAAATGTCACCTCAGTAGTCTGGCTGTTGTTCCCTGCTCATGCTGTTCATAAACTGTGTTGTGTAAACTTCTGTCAGCTTTTGAACATTCCGTCCAGATTCAGCTGTTACATAATCGCAGAACAAAAAACTAGTTCAGATGAAGAGACAATTTTTTTGTGTAAAGATCATATTGGCCCGTTTACTTCTTTGTGGCTCTAACAGTTATGGGGGTTTGTTTTACTGAACAGATTTTACAAGGATAAGTGTTTGCTAGGTTATAGAGCAAGACCAAAAAGCTTAGAGATATCCTTTCAAAAAAGCTTCTTAAAAAAAAAGAGGAATAAGGTTTAGGGTCTATGTACAATTGATTTTTTTTATATAAATTATGATTTTTCAGGCTCTATTATAATATTGAAATTAATAAAACAATTAATAATCATTTTATTTGTTAAAAAAGTGTAAATGTTTCTTGTTATAAACGAAACCTAATGAATGACAAGGGAAAAAAATGACTTCTTGTATGTTATTGTGTCTTCAATAATTTATTTTTTTGTGGGGTGGTTGGATGGGTCACACAAGGAATGATCAACCTCCTTGTTCACTTGCCCCTTTGTCTTGGGCTAATTTCATTTTGTCCCCAAGAATAGGACTCCCAACCACCATGTTTACAAAGGGCCCTCAAGCGTGACCCCTCATTATGTACAGTCCCTCCCCTTACAACTGAAAAGGCCCCTAAGGGCATCGAGCATCAAGTGTGGAAAAAAAAAAGCTCACACAAATGCATTTGCATTTGATTTGATTATCCTTCATGGTTGATTCATGGCCCCCAGGAGCTTTTGTTAGGACTTTTATACGAGGCCTATCTCTAACTACTTTTTTGCGTCTCATGAAAGAGAAAAAGAAAACCCATATTTGCTTTGTCTTTCAGATTAAGTTTGCACATCACCAGTGAATACTTTTATATATTGCTAACTGCATTACACCTTGAAAAACAAAAATAAACAGAAAAATATGAGGTATAAGTAAAGTGCATATGCACACACTGTTGGTTAGCCATCTTATAAATTTATAAGATTTTAATATCTAAAATTAACATTTCAAGTATAGTTTGGACTAATAATTACCAATGCTTTAGAAAAGAAGGATTTCAACACCATTACACATAATGCTGAGGAATTGCAGAAAATCTCAGACTTCATTCTAGATTAATATGGTTACAGACTCCTGATAGTGAACTAAAATACAAAATAATGGAAAGCGGGGGGGAGGGGGGGGCTGGACTACCACTTATTTTTTTGTTAAATGTCTAGACACCTGTTCTGGAGTCGGAACACATTCAGAAAAACTGAGCAAAGATCTGATTGCCTCCAGTTTAAGCCTACTTTGTGGTTTTCATGACCCAGATGACTGAAATTTTTCACAGACATTAGCAAAGATAAGCTCACTTTATTTTTTCCCAATTGATTAAAATTAGGGACTTAGTAAATTCTAATTTCATAAACCTGTTGCATAAATCTGCAATTTTCCTCAGTTCACATGAGGCACATTGTAAATATCAATCAGACCTTCGATTGCACCTCCTAACAAATCAACAAATTAAAGCTGGATCTAACAAAAGACTCTCTTACATTCTACATTAACTGTCAGACTATCTGTATGTATGTATATATATATATATATATATATATATATATATATATATATATATATATATATATATATATATATATATATATATATATATATATATATATACACTCACCGGCCGCTTTATTAGGTACACCTGTCCAACTGTTTGTTAACACTTAATTTCTAAGCAGCCAATCACATGGCGGCAACTCAGTGCATTTAGGCATGTAGACATGGTCAAGACAATCTCCTGCAGTTCAAAGCGAGCATCAGTATGGGGAAGAAAGGTGATTTGAGTGACTTTGAACGTGGCATGATTGTTGGTGCCAGAAGGGCTGGTCTGAGTATTTCAGAAACTGCTGATCTACTGGGATTTTCACGCACAACCATCTCTAGGGTTTACAGAGAATGGTCCGAAAAAGAAAAAACATCCAGTGAGCGGCAGTTCTGTGGGCGGAAATGCCTTGTTGATGCCAGAGGTCAGAGGAGAATGGCCAGACTGGTTGGAGCTGATAGAAGGGCAACAGTGACTCAAATAACCACCCGTTACAACCAAGGTGGGCAGAAGAGCATCTCTGAACGCACAGTACGTGGAACTTTGAGGCAGATGGGCTACAGCAGCAGAAGACCACACCGGGTGCCACTCCTTTCAGTTAAGAACAGGAAACTGAGGCTACAATTTGCACAAGCTCATCGAAATTGGACAGTAGAAGATTGGACAAACTTTGCCTGGTCTGATGAGTCTCGATTTCTGCTGCGACATTCGGATGGTAGGGTCAGAATTTGGCGTCTACAACATGAAAGCATGGATCCATCCTGCCTTGTATCAACGGTTCAGGCTGGTGGTGGTGGTGTCATGGTGTGGGGAATATTTTCTTGGCACTCTTTGGGCCCCTTGGTACCAATTGAGCATCGTTGCAACGCCACAGCCTACCTGAGTATTGTTACTGACCATGTCCATCCCTTTATGACCACAATGTACCCAACTTCTGATGGCTACTTTCAGCAGGATAATGCGCCATGTCATAAAGCTGGAATCATCTCAGACTGGTTTCTTGAACATGACAATGAGTTCACTGTACTCAAATGGCCTCCACAGTCACCAGATCTCAATCCAATAGAGCATCTTTGGGATGTGGTGGAACGGCAGATTTGCATCGTGGATGTGCAGCCGACAAATCTGCGGCAAATGTGTGATGCCATCATGTCAATATGGACCAAACTCCCTGAGGAATGCTTCCAGCACCTTGTTGAATCTACGCCATTAAGAATTGAGGCAGTTCTGAAGGCAAAAGGGGGTCCAACCCGTTACTAGCATGGGGTACCTAATAAAGTGGCCGGTGAGGGTATATATATATTTATATATAGATAGATAGATAGATAGATAGATAGATAGATAGATAGATAGATAGATAGATAGATAGATAGATAGATAGATAGATAGATAGATAGATAGATAGATAGATAGATAGATAGATAGATAGATAGATAGATAGATAGATAGATAGATAGATATATGCAGGGATATCTTGGAGCTGATGACTCTGATTAATCATTTCATTCATCTTCATTCATCAGCTTCATTCATCTGCCTATCTTCACCAAATTCTCATTACCATTTATCTGATCCACCTGCTTTAGCCTCTGTTTAACCATCCTTCATCACTACCATATTATTTGAGCCTTCAGTAAGAGTTCTCTGGCATACCTGATTGTTTCTGATTGCCTGATCCTGACCCGTTCTGTCTCTGGATCTCTGAGTTCTCTGCCTGTCCCCATTCTAATCTGTTTAGCTGACATGACTTCAGACTCATGCTGGATTTCTGCCTGTCTTTGGACCAAACCTGGAATTTTTTTCAGCATATCTTTAGACCTCTAATCTCCTGGCTCTACCGAGCATATCTTCGATATGGATTTGACTTTGCCTTCTGGATTATCCTGCCTTCTTTGTTCTGCTCAGTTCTGATCTCCTGCCTGTTCTCCGACCTCTGGGACATCAGCGCCTGGGACTCTCTGGGCGGTACCCGCATCTTGTTGGCAGTCGACCAGCTGAAACCAGCCTCATCCTCTAGGCACGGAAGGACCTATAAGAACAGGTTAGTGACTCACATGTTTATTATCATCCTCCGCCAGATAGACATGGTCAATAACCTGTGTTTTCCTGCAGCAGCGGTTCCTGCCTTAGATCCCCACTGTGTTCACTGCAGCTCCTTTTTTAATAAACATTTTGAGAAATCCAACTGTCTGTCTGCCTGGAATACTGGGTCCAATCTTTCTGAGCGTGACATATGTATAATTTATGCATTTTGTATATATATTTAACTATGTATCTTTCCCTGTCTCATTAAAGCTATTGGACACAGATCCGATTTGATGTTAGATCCTGAACTACAACATTTTGCTTCTTGCTGAATCTTTTTGGCAAAAAAAATGCTTAATGTCATATAGCAGAAATAAGGTTTTATGCTTTTGCTGTAAGTCTCTTTCATTTTCTTGTTTGCTGCGTGCATGCGAGCTACAGTATGTGTATGCTTGTTTGTGCAAGTGTGTACGTTTCCATGTACGAGCACATGTCTGCAGGGCAGCTGTGTCCTCAATATGTGGAGACCTGACCCAGCTGTCACAAAGCATACTGTGTGAGGTCTCTGAAAGCAAGGAAATGAAATGCATGTTCTTCACTCCACAGGAAGTGGCAAAGAAATATCAGTAGTTTTATTAACAAATGAGTTGAATGTGAACACATATC